CACAGGTCTGGCTTGAGACCCAGGCACCAGCTTTCTTTAGATGTTCCCTCGTGTGATTCTAATGTGTGTCCAGGATTCAGAGGCACCTCTGCTTCTGTTGCTCAGGATGGGTATTAACTTAATGTGAATGAGGAAGTATTTCAGTTTTATTATCTCAATATCTCAGAAAACTGTGTTTTCTCTATTGAGTGCCACTGATCCATGGGGAGGGGAGGTAATCAATAGTCTCAATGTACAAGTACAAAACAACTTAATTGGATTTTTTTACAAAAAAAATAAAATCCAATTATGTTTGCTTTTAAAATTAATAACAGGAGGAAAATTAATAAACTAATGTTTAGTATGTACCAGAAAGGCAAGTATTATTGTTCCCATTTTTACAATTGCAGAAACTAAGACACAAAGATGTTCAATTGACTTGTCCAAAGTCACATAACTGGTAGGTGGTGATGCCAAGATGTGAACAAACAAACTGGTATCTGGGGCTCTCCTGCTCATCTGTTCATTTGCCTGCTGCCCCCTCTAAAGAAAACCTTACTGGGTGGTAATTCAGCAAGAAATAGAAACCTTCTGTCCAAGTTAGTGAATGAGACAGAGGGAGTAGGACAATCAAGGAAAGAGAGGCGGTGGGGGATGGAAGAAGGAGGGACATCCCAAGCTAAGGGAATGAACCAGAAGGAGCTGTGGGCTGCACCCAGCGGTAGTGAGCCCCACGCAGGTCGCCAGCGCCAGTACCAATGGTCATGCTTCCAGTGGACACTTAAATGGTCAAGGCAGCAGACACAACCAGTGTGTCACTGTGTGCCCTGTATTGTGCGTAAAGGTGCATAAGACAGAGCCCTGCCCCGAGTGCCCACGGCCTCGCAGGGGGGAGGGATGAGTTGTGCCTTGCTCTAACAGAGGCGAGTACCAGGAATAGGGAGCAGAGCTGAGGAAGCTGCACGTGTGGGCCTGAGAAGGCTTCTCAGAAGAAGTGACATCTGCGATGGCCTTCAAAACAGAGACAGTCCCTCCCTGGCAGGGACGGGAGGCAGAGGGAAGGTGTGACCTGAGTCAGGGAGGTAGAAACCCACAATGTGTGTGCGTGAGAAATGGGAAAAACCCCCTTATAAATTCCTGAGACAAAGATATTGTTCTAGTCCAGTGATGGCGAACCTTTTGAGCTCGGCATGTCAGCATTTTGAAAAACCCTAACTTAACTCTGGTGCCGTGTCACAAATAGAAATTTTTTGATATTTGCAACCATAGTAAAACAAAGACATATTTTTGATATTTATTTTATATATTTAAATGCCATTTAACAAAGAAAAATCAACCAAAAAAATGAGTTCGCGTGTCACCTCTGACACGTGTGTCATAGGATCACCATCACTGTTCTAGTCTCACTGACTCCCCGCTTTAGGACTTCTGGGTTTCAGATCACACTCATCTGCCCGATTCACCTCAGTTCCTAGGTCATTTAATGATGGAATTGGACCAGGTTTTCTCCCCCTGCCCACAGCCCTTTGCAGCCACCAACACAGCTCTGTTTCATGGTAGGATTCCAAATTACAAAGGTTAATAAAGTGCTTTCTTGTTTCTGTATAACTTTCCTCATTACAATTCAAAAGAAATGTTGCTTGTCTTATAAAGTGAGCGGAATTGAGGTAATTAGGTAAGGAGTTCAGGAGGGCTGCCTTTGAGCTGAGAGAACCGCCTAACCAGCTTCATTAACATAATCTGAGTGTTTCTTTGAAGCCTAGAAATTGTTTTCAACCTGCACAGAACCTTTACACTGTTGTCCTTAAGGCGGTTACTCCCTTCCCTTTTAATTAACAACAAAATTAGCAGGTTTTAAATAACTGTATCTTTGTGGGGGGAAAAAAACTGGGGTAAACATACTCAAATCCACTTATTGGAATAACCTGAGGAGTCAATAAGGCCTTTCCAACAAGTTTTAGACAGCTCATTAGAATAAACATATCTTTCATCTTCCCTTTCTTTATCATCTTAGAGCAACAGAGCAAGCGAGCAACGCAGTCTGAAAAGTCACCTAAGTGTATTGAAATCACTGCAGCCCCTTTCATTTTGAATGATTTCAAAGCATTTGTAATACGTGTGGCTTGTCTATTAAATGCAGGCTAATGACCTGTAACGGCCAGGAACTCAGTCATTTATTGCTTTACCTTGACTCAAATTGTACCACCTTTCTTTGTCTATTCCACGTCCCCAACCATTTGAGGGGTGACTAAAGTGATCAGAAATGTTGAAATAGCTTCTGGAAAGTTTAAGTCAATCCTCATTTTTATGAAGTGGTTTATTCAACTTAGATTAAAATCATTCTTCTTTCCTGAAGGCTGATGGGTTTTAATACTAATACATTTAATCTCTACTCTATGTTTTTTAATTAAATGTGTTGGGGTAACATTGATTGATAACATTCTATACATTTTAAAAGTACAACATTACAATTCAACATCTATATATTCCATTACATGCTCATGACTGTAAGTCTGGTTTCCTTCCATCACCATATATTTGACCCTCTCTACCCACTTCACCCTCCTCTGGCCCCTCTTCCCCTCTGGTAAACAGCATTCTGATGTCTGTATCTATGAGTTTGTTTTTGTTTGCTTTGTTAGTTTGTTACTTTTTGTTTTATATTCCACATGAGTAAAATCATGTAGAACTCCCATATGATCCAGCAACTCCTCTTTGTGATATACACTTGAAAAATATGAAGCCACTTATTAATAAAGATATATGTACCCCTATGTTCATTGCAGTGTTATTTACAATAACCAAGCCATGGAAACAACCTTAGTGTTTGTGAATGGATAATTGGATATGTCACATCTTCTTTATATATCTCATACAATGGAATACCACTCAGCCATAAAAAAGATGAAATCTTGCCATTTGCAACAACATGAATGGATCTTGAGAATATTATGCTTTTGATGTGCTTTAAAGATATTAAAAAGGCAACATAAATAACTTTAAATATACCAGATTCATGTCACTAAAGAGCTAGCAGACTGAACTTCTAAATCTTTCTAAAACTATTTAGGGCATCCATTCTGGTGCATCCATTCATTCCTGCCATTTGTCCTAGGGATAGCGAGGGTGGAAGTATGACTTCTTATGTTCGTACTGGTTACTGAATCCCTATTACCTCCTATGGCCTTTGTTCCTTCTACCTCTGATGTTGGCCCAAGTGTTACAGAAGGAGCTCCACTCCCAGACCTACTTTCAGAAAGTAGGCAATGCAATTAATTACAGTATACTTAGATTCATTCTTTAATTTACTGGATCACAAAATTTTGGAGCTGAGGGAGCGATCTTAGAAGTTACATATTTCAAACATTTCATGTTCCAGATTAAAAACAACTAAGCCCTAGAAAAGTTAAGTGAGTTTCTCAGAGCCACACAGCTAGTTAGTAGCAAAATGGGCCTATAACCAAGCACTGACCCTTAGCCCTTGCTGCTCAGTGTTGTCTGCAGACCAGTGATATCAGCATCACCCAAAAACTTGTTATAAATGCAGAATTTTGGGCCCCACCCCAGGCCCACTAAATCAGATTCTACATTGTAGATCCCTAGGACATTCGCATGCACATGACAGCTTGAGAATCACTGGGCTAGACCATAATGAGTCTTTCCCTAGAGAGCACAAGAACTGAAGGCAAGTGGGCATTGGTTGGAAGCATATGACAAACATCCCAATCTCCTGGAGGTATCATTTGTAATCTGGAAATAATAGCTTGCAGGGTTTTCATAATATAAGTATACCAGATATATGCATGTATACTTCATGACATATGTATAGATAATACATGCATATATCACATCTAGGAGCTAATACAGTGTATAGTGGCTAATATTATTTGGATTCCCAGGCTTACCCTCAATATTGTGTTCAACCAGAAAGAAAACCAAGAGTGGCAATGAGACCATAAGGAATCACCTTCCTACCTCCCTTCCTTTTTTCTACTTGTTAAATATCATTTTAAATTGTATATGTGATTACAATTCCTATGATATTTCATGTTTCTAACACCCTAGATGATTATTATGTAGAAAATAAATAAAAACAGCTAACTATTTTTAGTGCTATGCGTGGAGATGAAAGAACTTATCCCTAAATCAAAATATAACCAAAAGAACACGACATCCCTCTGATATCTTGATTCTAGATCAGCCGTGGGCAAACTTTTTGACTCGAGGGCCACAATGGGTTCTTAAACTGGACTGGAGGGCCGGAACAAAAGCATGGATGGAGTGTTTGTGTGAACTATTATAAATTCAAAGTAAACATCATTACATAAAAGGGTACGGTCTTTTTTTTTTTTTTTTAGTTTTATTCATTTCAAATGGGCCGGATCCGGCCCGCGGGCCGTAGTTTGCCCACGGCTGTTCTAGATCCTATAAGCCGGGCTTCTAGGAGCCAGTCAGTATCTGCTGCCACTGCTGCTGTGATTTCCTTGACACTCAACTGCAAGGGGATGAGCCCACAGCTTGGCAACAGCAGAGCACATTTAAAAAAATGTTACTACGTCCCCAAAATCTCATAGCTGTCAGCTTCAAGAAAAACATTTTGAAGAGAAAAGGAGCAAAAAGTTAGTATTCAAATCTGAACCAAAATTTTGGAAATATACAGTGTACCACAGAGTGTGAAATCATACCAAAATTATATTTTGGAGGAGGCATTTTAGAGGCCTCAACTGGAAAAACATGTTGCCCTAAGGCAGTGGCTTTCAACCCCAGCACTGCATTTGAAACACCTGGGAAGCTTTCAAAACATCGCATGCACATTTCTGGGGAAGGGCACATGCTTCAGTGGTTTTTAAAAAGTTCCCAGTTGATTTTCATGTGCAGCCAGGGTTGAGACCTGCTGCCCCACAGCATCAGAAACCTGGTCTTATTGAAAGGTCAATCCACAGAGAGCTATTGCTTGTTGTTGATACAGAGTTCCCAAAATTTAAAGCAATAGACTGAACTTCCGTGTTTACCTCTTTTAGGTCTTTTCATCATTCCTCCAGGACTTCCACCGTAAGGAAAGGAGTCTTTGGATCCACATCCTCTAAGATGTTTATATGGACCAGCGGCCGGACCTCTTCATCTTACAGACACGATGAGAAAAGGTAACTGACTACCCAGACAGGATGCCACCGGGAAAGCATGGACAGCTGAGCTTTATGTTTTGCACGTGTTCCTGTTGGCTGGGCTCTACGTGGAGGGAATGCGGTTTCAGGCATTGCGGCCTTCCTCCTCTGTGCACTCCCCATGCTCACTCCCACCACATAGCTTTGCAAAGCCCTGCCTCTGAGACATGCGCTTCACACATGCACATGCACACCCAGTCATCACTTGGCTAACTCCATCTCAGATATGCATTCCGTCAGAACCTCCCACCATCCTCTTGACCAGCTCGTACTCTGTTTACTCTCCATTGAATGTCCAGGACCTACCACCGTTCCTGGCCCATAGTCAATGCTCAGTACTTTCTGAACTGAAGTAATGAAAATTACATTTCAAGACACTGGACATAGGGTGGGAAAGGAAAGCTGGAGAGGATAAAAAGAGGATGGACAAGTCCATGGAGCCCTCAAATTCCTTGACAGAACAGTCTGGGTAAAGGAAAAATGGGGGAATAAGAAAAAAGACTAAAGGTCAAAAACAGTGTTAATAGGATAAAGTGACAAATACATACTTAGTCCAGCCCTCCCATATGGATTTAGGGAGTAAATGCATGCATAAAGTTTTCTGGCCAGTTTTAAATATTTTATTCTGCTTCTCTCTCTTTCTTTTTAGGTTTTTTATTTTGTTTTGTTTTGTTGTTTTTGTTTGTTTGTTTGTTTTTTCTCACTAAGTCTACATAATGGCTTGTCTCATAGAGAAATGAGCACTGGAATAGGTTAGACTTTGTTGCTACAGCAAGATGTCTCTCTTTCTCATTGACCTTGTACTATTACTAGGGTTCGGTAAAGCTAACTTTTAAGCAAAATTGCCTCTACCATCTTTTGCAACTTATGCAGAGCTCACCTGCCTGCAGGTTGAGAGAGAAATCAGGATTGATGAATTGTGCTGGGCTCAAGAGGAAAGACCTGGCAGAAGTTTGCTGGAATGTAGTTGAGAGCTGGTAGTTTTATTTTTATTTTTTAAATTTCCATACATATAAAAGCCTTTGAAAAATTCTGAAAGCAAATTATTAACAATAATTATATGTTACAGCAAAAATTGGGAAGCAATTTTAATATGCACAATAGAAAACCTGTTAAATAAATCATAAAATGTAATAAATATAGCACTTAGCATTTAAAAATGTTTTGTCAAAATATTAACTAAAAATTAGGTTGGAAAATTACATACAAACAATGATTACAGCCACAAAACATATACAGTGGGGCCTTGACTTACGAGTGTCCCGACTAACGAGTTTTTCGAGATACGAGCCGTCTCTCAGCCGATTTTTTGCTTTGAGTTGCGAGCTAAAATTTGGGTTACGAGCCAGCTTCAGATACCCCACTGCTAGTTGGCGCAGCGAATGTCACAGTGAACGCCACAACATCAGCCCAGCATCACGTGTCTCACTCGTTCACTTTTTGATTTGACATACGAGTAATTTGAGTTACAAGCTCCGTCACGGAACGAATTAAACTCGTAAGTCAAGGCCCCACTGTATACATAAGGACAAGCATGGAAGGGAAAGCATGTTTTTCAAATTCTCCATTTCCCAAGTGCTTTGTAATATACTATCTTAATTATGGAAAAAATAATGATATGATGTTAAAGTAAAATTGCAGACCAGAAGACAACTAGTGTTTGAACAAAGTTCAAAAAACTCCCAGTGTTCATCATAATATAAGCAGATCAACTGAAAATGCACTGTCTTTGTTCATCTCTAGATTTTCACATGCTTCTCAATGCTTAATCAAGTCATTTTTCATTTGCTTTCAAGCCAAGTAAGTTGAATCATCTTTCAGCAAGACCTTTACTCTACAACTAAAACTCCATGTGTCATTTCAAAGTTCCATCTTTTACAAGTAATTTCCTCATTTCCTTAAAAAGAAAAAAAAATGTCCACTCCAGTGATGGTGCAGAAGGGCAGAGATTTTGTTGCCCTACACTGCAGTGGTTCTCAACCTTGGCTGCACATTAGAATCACCTGGGAATCTTTTTAAAATCCTGATTTCTGGGCCTCATCCTCCAGAAATTCTGTTTCTTTGTTACTAATGTTGTGGCCCCACCCCATAACAAAGGTGATTCTTATGTGCAGCCAAGGTTGAGAATCACTGCCCTACAGGAATATTGTGGCTAGGAGTGACCAGCTTTCCTGAGATTCTGAAGGCTTCATTGGAGCAGGTGAAGTGAGATGTCTTTGTTTCACCTTCCATTTATTCTCATCAAAAAAATTTCTTAGATACATTTTGCTGTGCATATCTTTTCTTACAACAAAGGGATTGCAGTTTACAAACAATTACTATGTACTGCATGTTTTACATGAACTTTTCTCTTTCAATTACAAGATAGGGACTATTATGCCCATTTTACCGATGGGGAGCGGAGTCTCAAAGATTTTAAATAACTTCTGTCCAACAACTACCAGTGATGGAATCAGGGTTTAAACCCAGGTCATATTATCTCCCCTGCACCCTACAGCTTACACAGCATCAAACATGAGATATTTGTAGAAGCAGGGAACTGCCAAACCCTCAGAGGAAAACTGTGTTAAGAGAGAGTTGAAAATAGTATTATTGAAGGAGATAATAAACATGTGAATATGACATATTGGCAATATTTGTGAAGTTAAAAGGAGCGAATAATAAGCTTCTCATTATGCACCAATAAGATTTATGAAAGTCTTAAATTACTACATTTATTTATTTTTCAAAGAGTGATTTCAGTAACTGTGGGATTTAAAATAATTAAAACATTGACTCTAAGTAAATCACTTTCAGCAGGCTTTATTTATGGGTGGGGATGCCAAGGCTTACTAAATCAATCGGCATGGCTTTGTCCTACAAAGTCAAAAGCAAATGAAAAAAACAACCAATGAATACAGCAACAGAATCTGCCACTAAGCCAGTCTCCTTAGTTTGATGTTGGTTCATCTGTCTGTACCTTTCTTGACCACATTTTCATCTTCACTGTAGGATAAGATTCACATCTCAAAACGGACTTTGAACAGCACTTACTGCTCTGCTTAAGATGCTCTGGGTGGCAGTAATCATGGTGATAATGAAGGTGATCATGGCTGATAATGAATCTCGATAATTAAAGTCCTCAAGTTAATTATTCAAAAACAAATTAACTAGATCGCCTGGCAGCACTGCCCAGGACTGCGGGTAATTGTTCCACCCTGTTTCTAATTCTGCCAGCCTGGCCTCTGTGTCCTGCGTCTCCAGCTGTGCTCCAGCCACAATCCCAGAGGCCAAGCAGCCAAAATCCTTGGCTCCACTCCACCCTGCCTCTCCTGACACCAGCGCCAAACTTGTCAGGATATTGGCTGCCCAGGGATTCCTCAAGAGGTGGAATATCAGGAAAGAGCTTACAAACAGGTGCAGCAACCAAGTTGAAGGAAAAGTCCACCGAAAATTCTGAAACCAAGTGTTTTATAGCTTCATGGAAGTTGAAGTCAATTTTACTTTTTATTTTATTTTAATTCAAAGCCAGTCCTTTTTCAGATCATCTGCTACATGCAAAACACGGGTTTCTGTCCTTATCCTCCATTTCATAGGCCCAGCAATATCAAGGAATACTTTTCCTTTTCTGAACAAACTTCTTCGATAGGTGAGCTTACATTAATTTCTAAATTGCAGGTGAAAATAATACAGCAGCAGCAATAACTAATTTAGAATTAGAAGAAAGGGTTTATTTGCTAAGAAGACAAAGGCTGAGTGTTTATCAATTATTCTTCAAATTGTTTTATTAAATATTGAACTGATATGAAGGAATACATATCACATGTTAATATATCAAGAATCTAGCCCAGTGATGGCGAACCTTTTGAGCTCGGCGTGTCAGCATTTTGAAAAACCCTTACTTAACTCTGGTGCCGTGTCACATATAGAAATTTTTTGATATTTGCAACCATAGTAAAACAAAGACTTATATTTTTGATATTTATTTTATATATTTAAATGCCATTTAACAAAGAAAAATCAACCAAAAAAATGAGTTTGCGTGTCACCTCTGACACGCGTGTCATAGGTTCGCCATCACTGATCTAGCCTATATAATAAGAGAGGGATATGCTAATTAGCCCAGATATGCTAATTAGTCATGACCGGTATGCAAATTGACCATCACTCCAACACACAAGATGGCCGTCCCCATGTGGTCAAAGATGGCCACCCCATGTGGCCACAAGATGGCCACCACAAGATGACCTGCAGGGGATGGCAGTTGGGGACGACCAGGCCAGCAGGGGAGGGCAGTTGGGGGCGATCAGGCCGGCAGGGGAGCAATTAGGCATCAAACAGACTGGCAGGGGAGTGGTTAGGGGGTGATCAAGCAGGCAGGCAGGCGAGCTGTTGGGAGCCAGCAGTCCTGGATTGTGACAGGGATGTCCCAGATTGGAGGGAGTGCAGACTGGGCTGAGGGACACCCTCCCCCCCAGTGAACGAATTTCATGCACCGGGCCTCTAGTATATATATAAAAGCCTAAGCGACCCTTATGACCAGACAACTGGACGACTGGATGACGCTAGTAGCTATGATGCTCACTGACCACAGCCAACCTCCCTCAGCCGGCCAACCTCCCACAGTCCCTCCCAGGGCCAGCCAGCCAACTTCCCTCGGTCCCTCCCTCTGGCCGGCTGGCCTCAATTGGCCCCGATTGCTGGCCAGGCCAAGGGACCCCACTCATGCACGAATTCGTGCACCGGGCCTCTAGTGATAATATAATAAACATCGGAGTAGCCTTCATTAAGGGTGAAAAACAAAACAATCAGGATTTTTGAAACCCTTGAGGGTGCTTTTCTAAGAGCATCCTTCTTCCTATCCCAGCCCCCATCCAAAGATTACCACCATCTGAACTTTGTGTTTACCATTCCCATGCTTTTCTTCATGAGTCTGTCACATTTGAATCCTTAAACAATATGTTGTTTACTTCTGAATGTTTGGAAACTTTATATAAATG